GGGACTGATACCTCCTGATAACGTATCTGAAGTATAAGAGACAAAGTCTTAACATCCTGGTTTTTCAAAGGACCATTCTGGTTTTACTTCTTCCAAGATAGATTTGCTTGTTCTTTTGTCATTCCGTGATATTTTCAATATTTATCTCTGACACCATAGTGCAAATGCATCATTTTTTCTCCAGTTTTCCTTATTATATACCTGTGGCCAACTTTCACATGCATGAGGCAATTGAAAATACCATGGCTTAGATGAGAAGCACTTTAGTCCTCAAACTGATATCTGTGCTCTTTGAACACTCTCAAGAGGTCTGTTGACGCAGATTTGCCTAATGCAATGTCATTTGATTTCTTGATTGCTCCTCCTATGAGTGTTGATTTTGGATCCAAACAAAATGACATTTTAAATCTTTTCTCCATTTATCATGTTGTTATTTATTGGTCCAGTGGTGAGGATTTTTGTTTTCTTTACATTGAGGTGCTGTTAACACTGAAGGCTGTAGTCTTTGATCTCCATCAGTAAGTATTTTAAGTCCTCTTTTGTGTATTCCATCTGGTGAGGCCCATGTGTTTAGAAAAGGTATTTGCAATGAATAAGTTGTTGGTCTTGTAAAATTCTATCATGTAATCTCCAGTATTATTTCTGTTACCAAGGCCATATTTTACAACTACTGATGCTTCCTCTTTGTTTCTAGCCTTCGCATTCCAATAGCAGTAATTATCAATACATCTTGATTGCATGTTTGATCAATTTCACACTGAAGTATTTGGTGTTGTCTTTGTTGTTGAGGGCTGTCAAGTCATATAGTGACCTTGTCTCTGAGGAGCGACTGGTGAGCTTGAACCACTGACCTTGTGGTTCAAACTGACCACTTTGCAGTTCAATCCTACCTTGCAGTCCAGTGCATGAACCCACAGAATTATTTCATTTAGTCATCACTGATTATAGTGGTTGGTGTGTTAAATTTAATAATAGTGGTACTAACTGGTACTACTTGTAGATAATATGAATATTGTTCTATCACTGACAGTATTGTACTTCAAGATGTTCTTTTTGATTATGAATGCTAAGTCACTCCTTGATTTTGTTGTTTGCAGCATATTATACCATTAATGCTTATGACTCATTGTATGGCTCTTTAGAATATGGACTGGACTGTGAATAGCAAGGTCGGTAGTTCAAGCCCACCAGCTGCTCCTTAGCAATCCTATACAGGGTTGCTATGAGGACTTAACAGCAACAACAACATTAATGTTAGGATATGGACCTTTATGCATTCTATTTTTTTTTTTTTTTAATGTTTTATTGTGAATTACATGATAGTTTACATGAGAGAACTTTAGTTTTACATTCATTCCATCGTATATCATTTCATTGCCATGGTTCCATTCCCCTCCATGCATCATCAACCGACCAAAGGGTATATCCTAGAAACCCACCCCCTACACTCCAACCCCCACCCCCACCCTCCAAGTCTTCGGCCCACTCCATTTCATTTTTGAGAACTTCCAATTTTCCAGGATTTATTCTTGGTACATTCTGTGTTGTAATTATTAATGGATGTAGCAAATGAAGGTCCCAAAAGCTTTAATCTCATTTGTAACATCATGGTCAACTCTGCTTGGAGGAGGCAGCTCTTCCTCCAGTGACATTTTGATTGACTTCCATCCTGAGAGGCTCATCTTCTCGCACTATCTGACACTATTCTGGCACTGTTCATAATATTTTCATCTTCTGGCACTATATCTGACACTGTTCTGCTGCTATTCTTCAGATTTTTATGGCTAAGTATTCAGAAATAGTTAGTTATCTCTCTTACTTCCTTTGCTGTCATAGTGTGAAGCTCTGCTGAACCCTATCCATCATTATTGACCCTGCTGGGTGTGAGGCTTAGCTTCCAGCATCATAGCTACATATAAATCTCCACAGCAATACAAAGAAACAGATGAATGGAAGACTTTCTAATTAGCTGATTATATGCATATTGATTATTGTTTAATACAGTCATCCAGTATGATTTACTAGTAGCAGATGTTATCACTAGAAAATAAATTAAGGTGGTGGTTTAACTAACATTATTCAAATCGTAGTAGCACTCCAAAATTTTTGTGAAAGATAAATACTTAAGGTCAGCAATTCGAAACTGCCAGCTGTTCCACAGGAGAAAGATGAGGCTTTCTGCTCCTGTAAAAATTTACAGCCTCAGAAACTCTGTACCAGGGTCGCTATGAGTTGGAACCGATTCCACGGCACATAACCATCACCACCACCAATATCACAAAGGGTTCTTTCCCCAAATAAACTGATAAAGGTTCTGGTTGACTACATAATATGTCTTGAGTTGTAGAATAAGCACTGAACTGCTAACCACAGAGTTGGCGGTTCAGATCAGCCAGTTGCTCCTTATTGTTAAATGGTGTTGAATCGGTTCCAACTCATTGTGACCCTGTATAGGGTTTCCAAGGAGCGGTTTGTGTATTTGAATCACCAATCTTGTGGTTAGCAATCCATTGCTTAACCAGCAGTGTCAAACCAGGATTATAGCCACTTCTTAGAAACCTTATGTTGTTGTTGAGTGCCGTCGAGTCGATTCTGACACTTAGAGTCTGTATAGGGTTTCCAAGGAGCAGCTAGTGAGCTTGAACCACCGACCTTGCAATTCAAACGACTTTGCAGTCTGATGCATTAGACCACAGCGCCACACCAGGACTCAAGAAGCCTTATACAGGGTCACTATTAGTTGGAACCAACTTGATGGTACTTAACAAGAAGAACAACCTTTCCTTCCTATTCTACCTCATTGCTATTCAAGCCCTTCATTCCACTCTAAAAAAATCCCCCTCCTGTATTATTTTGCAAAAATTTAAACGTATGGAAAAATGGAAAGGCATGTTGTTAGGTGCCATTGAATCTGTTCCGACTCAGCGACCTGATGCACAACAGAACGGAATTCTGCTGAGTCCTATCCCATCCTCATAATGTTTGCTGTACTTAAGACCAGTGTCGCTCTCACTGTGTCAGTCCATCTCATTGAGGGTCTTCCTCTTTCTCGGATCCTCCACTTTATCAAGTATGTTGTAATTCTCCAGGAATTGGTCCATCTTGATAGCATATGAGCAATACGTTTTGCCATCCTCACTTCTAAGGAGAATTCTGGGTACTTCTTCCAGAACAGATTTGTTTGCTCTTTGGCAACTCATGGTACTTTGAATATTCTTGGTCAGAACCATAATTCAATTGCATTGAATCTTCTGTGGTCTTCCCTTTTCATTGTCCAACTTTTACTTGCTTAATAGACAATTGAAAATACCATGGCAGGGTCAAGCACACCATAGTTCTCAAAGTGACATTTTGCCCTTAACATTTTAAAGAGGTTGTATGTAGCAGGTTTGCCTAATGATTTTCTTGACTGCTGTAAGTCCAAGCAAAATGAAGTCTCTGGAAACGTCAATCTTTTTTTTCTTCCATTTACCACGATGTTATTTATTGGTCCCTTCGTAAAGGTTTTCTTTCTCTTTATGTTGTGGTGTACTCCATACTGAATATTTTTATTTTCAAAGGCATGTATAGTGAGTATCTTATTATCAGGTAGCTTATTTGATTATTTTTCTATATGTGTACAAAGGTTCTCTGGTGGCACAGTGTGTTTAGTGTTGGACTGCTGATTGCAATGACAGTGCTTTAAACCGACCAGCTGCTCTGCAGAGAAAGATGAGGCTGTTTGCTTCCATAAAGATTCAGTCTTGAGAAACCCCATGGAGCAGTTGTACTCTGTCTGATAGGGTTGGTATGAGTCAGAATCAACTTGATGGCAATGAGTTTGTTTTTATTTTATGTATGTATACACATACACACACACACACACACACACACACACACACACAATTTTTGTAAGCAGATGCAATTGAAAATAACTTGTAGAAAGTTCATGGTTCAAACTCACCAGCTGCTCCTCAGAAACCTTATTCAGGGTCACTATGAGTTGGAACCTACTCGACAGCATGTAACAACAACAATCATGATGTTTTGCCTCCTAATGATATTTTCTTATATTCCTATAACCATTGTCATTTTTCCACCAAAGAACTTGGACATGCCTACAGTGGTACTGTTTAATATACAATCCATATACCAGTTTCTCTTAAGGGTTTTTTTGTTTTTTTTTTTCCAATGCTTCCTTTAAAGCCTTTTTATTTTGCAAATTTTAAAAGTATGTGTCTTACTCACCTTGCTGACTTGTTTTTTTGGCAGCACATGCCCTGCATCTCTGCCTTCACGCCTTTGCATAGCTGTGCCTCTGTGTGCAATTTTGTCTCTTTCTTTCTTTACCTGGTGAAACTCTGTCCTTTCAAGCTCATTTTAAGAGATTTTTTCCTCTTCCATAAAATATTTGCTGACGTGCCCTGATATGATTGCTCTCTCTTAAATTGTGGGAGCTCTTTATATTAAGTACCTATTACATCCTATCCTGACTTATGTTTAGAATTTATGTACTTTTTTATCTCCTTTAAAATTTTTTTTTTATTTTTATAGCTATGATCGTCTTGAATATAGGGCTTTCGTATAGCTTGCCCTACCCATTTTTGTTGCTCAGTAAGGATTTGTGTAGTTGAGCGTAATCCAGAATGTGCTGCTTGGTCTTTTATTTGTAGTATAGTTGATTTATTTGTAGTGTGTTTTCTATTTGGGAAAGATGGTCTGAAAATTCTGTGTTCTGACATCATACTATAAAGAATGGAAAGATCTAAGAGACGGACGTTAGCATTTAGGCAGGAATAGGAACCCTAATTTTTTCTACCCTTTGGAATTTAGTTACTAGAGTAAAAAGTCTCAAACATGACTTTAGTCAAATGTATGTAAGGGATTATATTTGCAGTTGCATTGGTAGCTGTGGTGCTAAACATGGGAGGGGATGGGAGCGCATGGCCTGCTGTGTCTCAGCAGGAAGTCTTGTGGAGGAACCCAGAGCAGATGTGTAAGATTTCTTCTTTTACACTTAGGTTCGAGATGCAGCAATAAACAGCTTAGTGGAAATTTACAGACATGTAGGAGAACGTGTGAGGGCAGATCTCAGTAAAAAAGGATTGCCACAGTCTCGGTAAGTTCTCTTTATCCCCAATTTTTTTCCACCTAATACTTTGATTTACATTACTGTTACCTTTTTGGTGTAAATTTGCTTAAAATGTGTTGGTGACTGGAGAGCTTGTTTGGATCAGATGTCAGGTGCACTGCCACCCCCATTCCAATTTTTCAAAAGTAAAACAGATGCATTAAATATCTATTACATCCTGTACTGGATTAAATTTAGAATTTATGGACCTAGACATCTAGATGGGCCCAGTGGTATGTCCTTGCTTTAGATGATTGCCAAGTATTTTTTTATTGCCAAGTATTTAACTGTGAAGCATCTGGTTTGTTTGAACAGCCAGCTTTTGAGTTAGCAACCCAATGCTTAACCATTGTGCCACTAGGTCTCCCTTTGATGCCATAGGACCCAACAGTTCTACAGATGGTTAGATAGATAGATAGATAGATAGATAGATAGATAGATAGACAGATAGATAGATAAAAGAACTGAGAGCCGAAACTCATTCAGGCACAGGCATATATGCGTGTGTAACAGAGACATGAGTAAACCAGTTGAGATAATCTATAAAACTGACCCTGAGTCAGAGTAAAGTGGGATGAAGTACTGACACTAACACATGCTATGGTGTTGATGAACCTACATGCTGCTAAGTGATAGAAGGCAGACACAGAAGACCACGTAGTATATGAGTCCATGTGTATGGATTATCAGAATAAATCAATCCATATAGACAGAATGTTGATTGAATGTTTGCCAGGGACTGGGGACATGGTAAGGGGAGAATAGAGAGAAATTGCTTAATTGGTAAAGGGTTCTAATTTTTGGTAATTGGAAGGATTTTGAGCCTGGAGAGAGGTGGTGAGTGCACAACATTGAGAATAACTAAATGCCACTGCTTTGTTCACTTTAATATCAATTACATTTTATGTGAATTTTACCTTATTTTAAAAATAAAAATGTAGTTAGAAAAATCAATGCATATAGAGTCATATCCTCTATACACACAGCACCTAGTATAGTAAGTTCTTAGAATATATTTGTTTGAATGAATGGAGCCTTTGTGGAATAAGTTTGGATAAGACTATATAAGATTGAGTCTGGAAAACATCACTAAAATGCTTGCTTGCTGTTTAGTCATGTTAAATTAATCTCAAGGGTCAGTGGAAAGGGGATAGATAGATGTCTTATCACACCAGTGACAGTCGGAGTCCAAAAATGCCCCATTGTTACAGTCAGATTTAAAAAAGAATGAAAAACTGGTCATCACTAATTTATATTGTGATAAAATGATGGTGACAGTGAATTTAAACCTTTTGTCCCAGTCTGTACCTTTCAGTGCGAAGAGAAAGTCATGTGACAGTGTATGTAGAAAGGTAGTGCTGGAGTGGGCGCAAACAGTCTGCCTGTCATTATGCCCAGAGAAATGAAGCGGCTTTTGCGAGAGGACACAGCTAGTAGGAGTCAGAGCTAAGGTCGAGTTCTGGCTCGGTCCTGTCTGATGAAAGGAGAGTTTACAGAGCACTGGGCATCTAGTTACGGGGTGGCATATTGACGTATATGGAATATCCGTCATGATGCCCCTTCGCTTCTTTCCTCAAGTGCTTGTGACAGAAGAGAGGCTTCTACCCTCCAAGTGGTGGCTTCATGGGTGACTGTTAGGGGGTCTGTGTCTGTGTTATCAAAGAACACTGACCCCGTGTCGTTCTCATCATGACACCTGTGCTGCATACAAGATGCAGAGATGGGAGGAAAACTGCTTTTCATGCTTTGAAGATAGGTAATCTCTGAATTTGTGTTTGTATTTTATGAGCCTCAGATGAGAACACTTGTTGTTGCTAAGTGCTGTTGAGTCGGTTCCGACTCATAGCTGCCCTGTATAGAGTTTCTGTGTATAGGGTTTCTGAGGCTGTCCATCTTTGTTGAAGCAGAACATTTCATCTTTCTCCCGTGGAGCGCCTGTCAAGTGCTTATTGTATGGAGCCACTTTGCTCCCATGAGAACACTTAGAAGACAAAAATATCAAACATTAGGGAAATGAAACATGAGGGGAGTTGGGGGCCCCAGATGAGCAGGACAAGCAGAGGCTTCAGAGAGAGGGCTATGTGATGAGGACATCACCATCCCTTTGGGAAAGCAGGCCTGCTTTTCCAGGGATGGTCTTTCCCCATGCTGTATGGCTAATTATCATACACAATGAGAGTCCTGTGTGATGTTGCAAGATTCCTCCAGCAGACTAACAGAACCAGGGACAGTAAATGAAACTGAGATCAAGAGAGGCGAGTGTGCAGAAAAGAGCTAACATAGCAGACCTGAGACTTCCTGTTTTGAGAAGGTACTGTTTGTAAGGTTGGCCTTTGTCTGATGTTTGAAATTTTGGATTTCAGAAGATTTCCTGCAATTCCCAAAACTAATATGTAACTCATAGTGCCCAAAATGTTTGTGTAAATGAGTTGATTTATGCTGAACACTTCCTTTTCTTGTGGAGTCTAGAATTTGGGGGTGGTGCCAGAAGGAGGTGCAATAAGAATCCCGGGCACTGGGGCTCCAGTGAGCTTTACTGGCAGACAGCATTTCACACATGCCATCACAAACTCATTACTAGGGGAGTTTAGCATATCTTATGTAAATATTGTAGTCCTCTTGTGGTGCTGTAGGATAAGCACTGGACTGCTAACTGCATGCTTGGCGTTTCAGATCTGCTAGTTGCTCTACAGCACTTAACAACAACAACAACAACAACAACAGCAGCAGGTGAATACTAGGAGAGGATTCTTGGAAGGCCTCCCCCTCGTCTCCTCTGGATTTCACCTGTGCACCTTTTCTCTTTGCTGTTGATATCCATTTGCTGCAGCAAAATAGAACTGTAGACATGACTCTTAACTGAATCGTGTAGTTGTACGAGCAAATTATCAACCTCAGGTTGATTGTGGAGACTCCCAAAGGAAGCTAATGCCAGACCTGGGGCAAAAACCTTAGCTTTGTAAGCTAAAATGCAAGTGTGTGTCTCTCCCTATCTGGAGCAAAGCCAAGTAATAAAAATTGGAAGATGGATGCAAACTATTGCAGTGTTCTAATAGACTATGTGTACATGAGTCTCCACCACCTGACACCTGAAAAAATAGTTAGTGCCTCGCTACCCTGACCTGGAGTCCTGGTGTGGTGCTGTGGGTTAATGTGCCAGACTACAAAGCTGTTTGAACTGCAGTGTTGGCAGTTCAAGCTCACCAACTGCTCCTTGGAAATCATATACAGGGTCGCTATGGGTTGGAATTGACTCGACGGCACTTCACACAAACAGCAACCCTGACCTAGTGCTCTGAAAGAGAAATCATGGTACAAAGTCCTGGATCGAGTGAGTGAAAAAATGTGGAACAGAAATCAAACCATAAAAAAGACCAGTAGGTTGAATTCAGTCTGGTGAAATCCCTGTGACTGGTGTCCTTGTCACCCTTCAGGTCTGGAACTGAACCCACCTCTGTGGCTCAGTATTTGGCCAAACAATAGAAAGGTCTACAAGGGAAGCAGTAACACGAGTGAGGTCTGCACACCTTAGAATAAGCAACCATTTAAGATCAAAAGGGCAGCATTTAGCCAAGGCCAAAGTTATGAAGGGCTAGGAAAGAAGGAGGAATAGAAACAAGAAACACAGGGAGAAAGTGGGATAAGTTCTGGTACATTGAGGGACATGAAACAAAATCTGTATTAATTGTTGTAAAGGACAGGATAACTTTAAAATAAAAAAATGTAGGTTTAATACAAAATAACAGGAAAATACCAAATGACTACTTAGAGTAAAATGTGAGCCTCAAAGAAATGTCAGTTTCATAAAAATCTATCTTTCTTGGTTTTTAAATTCAAACTCCTTATGAGAGCTTAAAATACTTACTGATGAAGACCACAGCCTCATTCTGGGTTACATCTCAATGTAAAGAAGACAGAAATCCTCACCACTGGACCAATAAACAGCATGTATATAAATGGAGACAATATTGAAGTTATTAAAGACTTCATTTTGTTCAAATCAGTCATCAGTACTCATGGAAGCAGAGGTCAAGAAATCAGACGACATATTACATTAGGCAGATCTGCTGTAAAAGACCTCTTTAAAGTGCTCAAGAGCAAAGATGCCAGTTTGAGCAGTAAAGTGTCTGACCGAAGCCATAGTGTTTTCAGTAACTTCATATGCATGTGAAAGTTGAACAGTGAATAAGAAGACTGTAAAAGAATTGATGTGTTTGAGTTAATGATGATGGAGGAGAATATTGAAAGTACCATGGACAAATTTTGTGTTGGAAGTACAGCTAGAGTGATTGCTCCTTGGAAGCTAGGGATGGCCACTATATACTTATATCCATTTAGCCCATGCATACCTCCCTAAGTCTTCCCTTCTCTTCATTGTTCTTCTGCCACCATCCCTCTTTTTGTGTATTACCCTCATTGTATATTGCCTTCCCTGGTCACCCCAGCTAACATGCCAAACTAGTTAATCTTCTGGTCAGTGAATTACTCTCTCCTCCTTCCCACCCTTGATAACTATCAAAGAATGTTTCTTTTATCATGGAAACATTTTCTTAAGTGTTTACGATAATGGTCTCTATCTATATAAATACATGGTATTTATCTTTTGTGATTGACTAATTTCACTCAACATAATGTGTATGTGTGCCAATTATTAGAGCCCCTCCAGTTTCATATTTGTCATGAAGTGTTTAGCAGATTCATTTTTATTCTTCAAGCTTGCATACTATTGTGTGTATATACCAAAGCTTATTTATCCATTTTTCCATTGATGGGCACTTAGGCCGTCTCTTTATTTCTTTACTATTGTGACTAATGCTACAATGAACATTGGTGTGCATGTATCTACTCATATACTGGCTCATGTTTCTTGTGGCTATATACCAAGTAGGGGGATTGCTTGGTCACATTTCTAATTCCAGCTTTCTGAGGAAGTGCCATGCCATTTTACAGTCCCACCAGTGATGTAGGAAAGCCCCGGTCTCTCCACA